ATTTTCTATTCATAAAACTCATAAATAGTATAATCTTCAACTTTATATTAAATATTGCATTTACCATGATCACTTTACTTATTCTGCATAACTCAACTGTCCTGTATTATATCAATTCTTAATTAGCTTAAAGATTGTGTAATTAGTCCAGAGGAATTCAGTAGGTCAATTTGGTATAGTTTATAATGAAGGAAAAACATAAAATGAAGAATCCAGATATAAATATTTGTAAGATTTGAAACTACTTTTTAACTCTTACCTCTCCACATAGATACTCTTGCTGGTACCCAAAGTATATAAGCTAGTCAGGATTCTGTAACAGGACACTTGTACATCTTCCACTAAGGGGAAAAAAGAATCTTACTTAAATCAACAACACTTTTTATTATACATTCTCCCAAGAAAGTTAGGGTGAGAACATAATTCCTTATTAAATGCACAGTAACATTTTAACATGTGAAAAAAGAAAAATAAGATGTATAAAATTATTAAAAACTTTTTCTCAGACAACATTCATTTCTTTAAGGCACATAAAACCTTCTTAGGAATGTGCTGTCATGATTCAGAATACTCTCTGAAAGTTTCTTTGCAATTTTTCTTGGTTTGAGAATAAAAGATTTCCCCCAGAATAAAATTAAGCACAGGACTATTTAGGGGGAAGTTTTTGACTCTTTGTCCAAACGTATATAAAAGCATGTATCTTTTACTTTAACTCTCAAATTAACACTAATAAAAACACTAGTGGATGTAATAACTCACTCTGACAGTTTATTGAAGCTAGGAAAACAAAACCTAAAAAAATATCTATCATCAGAGAAGGCACATATAAAAGATTTTTTAAATCCAAGGACCTTGGATTTCTAATTCTAACTCTGCTACCATGCCTTGGAGGAGAAATTAAGAGATGAAGGGAGAAATTACCCTTATTCTTCATAACTGTTTCCATGTACAAATTGTGCTGTGAGCAATGCCCTACTGGTCAAATTAAATTTATTGCAATGAGTAGTTGACTGAATACTGCAGTTATTTTTATACAGAGCTGCCCATCACCTGGGAGCATGAGTATCTGCAGTAAAGATCAGGTGTCTGCTCAACAAGGGCTCATATCAATTTTCATGTTCATCTCAGCAGGTTGCTGGGACAGGTTATGTGATTTTTTTCTCCATGTAACACTGGGCATTCTGTAGATTTTTATAATAAGTACAGAATTCCAGCCTAGAGCTGATTAAATCACCCATGAAAATAAACTGAAGATATTTTTTTTTTGGTCATCCTAGTAGGTCAATTATTTAGACATAGATTTGGTCTCATCAGTCTTCATAGTCAGTTGGTAGTATAGTTTGTGTGAACTATCTGCATTGACTCAGAAATAACTTGAAAACATTTTAATTTTTCTAATGCAGTTAAACATTTTAACTGCATTAGAAAATTTAAAAATGATGAAGATTTAAACTTAAAAGTTTTAAAAAAGGTAAAGAAATATTTAAAAAGTTGAAGACAGAGTAAAAGGATTCAAAGAAACAATAAAACCTGATATTAGCATTCCAACAATATGTAAGTTATTTTCCATAATCTGTACCTTACTAGTCCCCTCTTCAAATTCATGAAATTCAATAATCTATCTCTATAATAGCTCCCATAACTCAAATGTTAAGTTACAATGTTTTGCAAAAAAGCATTTTAATGTACAAGCTGGGTTTGAATAACCCAGATGTGGCTTTTATAATTTCTAGTTGTATTACATAGATAATGAAGTGCCAAGTGTGTATAGATTCACATACATATTAGATCTTCGCCAAATTGATGCTGGCCAATATGTTCAAATAATGATGACAGCATTGGTAACAGTGCCACTGTGGTATAATTGATAATCTGAGTGACCCCTTTAGGTTGGTTTCGGGTGTGTGTAAACTGGCCCTGCTTAAGATTTTCCATTGTCTTCTCCAGGTCCTCTGCTGCATTGTCCAGAAATGCTCGGAGGGCACTTTTAACACTTTCTAGGCCAGTCTTCATTACGGTTCTAGGATGTAAATAGATAAAGAGTTATAGCAACCTATAAATAAAGCATCTTTCTAGTTTATGTTTATTTCTCAGTTATAGTACCCACCTAGCCACCTAATTATTTTTTTATTGTGGTGAAAATATGCATAACAAATACTTTGCCAATTCAACAATTCCTACATGTGCAATTCAGTTATATTGATTATATTCTTCATGTTGTGCAACCATTTGTATTACCCTTTTACAAATTATCCCACAACCATTAGCATGAACTCACTGCCCCCTGTATAAAAACTTCCCCTTTCCTCCTCCTTCCTACCCCTGGTAACCACTAACAATCTTTGGTGTCTATGTATTTGCTTATTTAATCTAAGTGAAGACATACAGTCTTTGTCCTTCTGGCACTGACTTATTTTGCTCAGCATAAATGTTATCTAGGTTTATCCATGTTGTAGCATGCATCAGAACTTCATTTTTCTTTATGGCTGAGTAATATATATGTATATATATATATATATATATATATATATGTATCTCACATATTGTTTATCCATCCGTTGAGCAACTAAATTTTTACATTAGCCTTAAAATATTTGTTTTTTCAGTAGACTCAATGCTACAGAAGTCTTGTTCTGGAACTGCACAGTCTTTCCCAAATGTCATCATAGTCAATCTACCTAAAATCTCAGAGCAATCGCAGTGCTAATGCTTTGTATTTTCCATCAATGGACTCAAATTTTGAGAATTGTTATTCAATGACCGACAGAACACAGCTTCTGAGCCAGTTAATCCCAAATCCAACAAAACTAGAATGCTTCCTGAGGCAATGAATATGAAAAACACATTTAATTCCAGCTAAACAAAGTCAATCTACTTCCGTAGTGATATTGCCTCTGAAACCCAAGGAGGGGTCACTATGAGTCAGATGTGACTCGACGGTACATAACAACAACAACAACAAACAAAGTCATTAAATAGAACAGACATTTTACACTTTAAGGGATAACAATTAAGTCTTATCTAAATAAACCTCTGACATTTATACAGAAATGACATCCTAATGTCATTATTTCTAGTAGGAAATGAAGGTTATATAATGGTGTCTTCTTTCCTGTAGAAAACCGAAAAGCATCTCAAATAAAATTATAAACACAAGAATAGATAAAGAAATTTTCTTTGTAGGAAATATTGAGGAAATTCTACTTAGATTTACTTTATGTTATGAGTTAACTGGCTTAAAAGCTGAATCAAGCATTCTAAATAAACTGATTTTGTATTTGGTCAACATCTTGGATTTATGGTCATTTTGATGGTATGGCAGAACAGAAAGGGCACAGACTTGGGAATTAGTCTAGCTCCACATTTACTATGCACCTTTAAATATTATTTTACTCATCTGTAAAATGGGAATAAAACCCTCATGTTTCCTATAAAGTTAAATTATATTACAAATGTGGAGCTAGTATTGAGCCTGGAAGCTAGAAAGATCCTGTAGTCATCAGTTTCTCATTTTTCTTCAGAGGAAAATTTAATTCTGTTGTATTCTTAGCTGCTACAGAAATTACTTGAAAATTAAATTATATGTATATATATATATCCAAATCCATTAAGTCAATTGCAACTTATAGCAACCCTATAGAACAGTTTAGAACTGCCTCACAGGGTTTCCAGCATTGTAATCTTTACAGAAGTAGACTACCACATCTTCCTCCTGAGAAGCAGTTGGTGGGTTTGAACTGCTGACTTTTCAGTTACTAGGCAAGCACTTAACCACTGGGCCACTAGGGCTTCCTCACATATGATCATAAAGATGATAAACTGCCACTTTATTAGGAATTTCAAAATATATTTTTCCATCTACATTGAAGTCTTTATTACACTTCCACAGAAAAAAAGTGAGACATTAGGTTATCCTTAACATTCTTATATGGCAATACTATATTCATTGATTTAGAGAAAAATGTACCATGTTACCTTGCATCCAGAGTCTGTCCTAAAATATGGAGACAGTTGACAATTGATGTTGCATCATTTCCTAGAGAAAAAACAACATGCTTTATGAATTGCCCTGAGAATTCTCAATGATCTTTTAAATTAATACTTGAATTTAAAAAAAAAAAAAAATAGTCAATGGCATATCTCAATAACTCACTTAAAAATATTTTAATAATAGAGTTTAAGATCATGCGATTTTTCTGCTTAAAAGTGATTATGCAACTGTAAGTAGAAAAGCAATAAAGCATGTCTCATCAAATAGCTGACACACTCAAGAAGCATTAAAAAGCACTGCCAGGCTAAAAGAGTTCTAATTGAATTCTTCAAATATGTTCTTCCTCCTCACATAGCTTATCATATTTTTAGATCATATTGTACACAAACTTTTAAAATCAGTTCATATCCTTTAAGAAATGAGATGGGCTAAAAATCTAATAAATTTAATTCCATTTTAATCATCCTAGTGACTCGGCTTTCTTATTGAATTCAATTATGATAAATTAATTTGCCAGAATGTTGTTGGTCTGTGGCTAAACAGAAGCACCAAACTAAAAAGATTTAAAAGAGCATCAGAGTTTGAAGTAGTTAAATATTACTCTTGTGAAATACTTGAAAAGGGGTAAATTATTGAAAATAAGATGATATTCACTCATTTTTGATTGGCATGTTTTATCAGGAGCCACCTCATATGATATAAACACTACATACATTTTTGTTTGTCATAGTGATACAGAAAAGCAAATAAAATGATGACTCCAAAGTAATGTAATTCAAGAGCTGGCAATAAAATTGATATCATTACTCCATTAAGCTATACTTTCCTAAGTATATAGTCATCTTCTGGGTGATGAGATTGACAACTCCTATTCATGCTTAACTCCTGTAGTTATGCTTTCATAATATTTGAAGATGTTGTATTTTTATATACAAAAAAATTTTAAAGTATCATAAAATGAATAAATTCAATATACATAGAAATTAATAACTGCCTTAGAAAATGAGCAAGACAGTTTAGTGGTATATTACAAAACACAAATGCAACCACTGCTGTGGAATCAGATTTGACTCATAGTGACCCCTCCTTGGGTTTCCAAGGCGGTATCACTAAGGAAGTAGATTGCCCAACCTTCTTCCGGGGAGTGGCTGGGGGTTTGAACCACCAGCCTTCTGGTTAGCAGTCAAGCCTTAGGCACTATGCTACCAGAGCTCCTAATAAGGGATAAAATAAGGTATTACTGAGAAAATGTTCCATATGTGTTATTCTTCAGGTCTCAGGATGTTTCATAATAATGATGACAACATCAGCAGAAAGGTGAAATCTGCCATTTCCCTGTCAATTGGCCCAGTCCTAAGGAGCTCTGATGGCTCTGTGGTTAAAGCATTTGGCTGCTAATCAAAAGGTTGGTGGTTCAAACACACCCCCCTTTCTCTGCAACAAAGATGAGGTAGTCTGCTTCTGTAAAGATTTACAGCTTTGTAAACCCTACAGGATAGTTCTACTCAACCCTATAGGGTTGCTAAAAGTCAGAATTGACTTGATGCCAGTGGGTAATGGGTAAGCCCAGCCCTAGGGCTTTCATTCCAGTCCCTAGAAGTATTATTCACTTAATTATTCAGTCACTCAGCAAATATCATTAAACAGCAGATACTCTCAAAGATTAAGTAATAAACAAAACAGTACCCTTGTGGTAGTTGTATTCTAATGAGGGGTAAAGATAATAGACTATTAAACAAAAACAAAATCAATACATAATATAATATAAAGGAGCCTGGTGGCTGCTCAATGAAAGGTTAGAGGTTCAAATTCACCAGCTGCTCCAGGGAGAAAAGATCTGCCTATGCTCTCTCATAAAGATGATAGCCTAGGAAACCCTATGGAACAGTTTTACTTTGTTTTATAGGGTCACAATGAGTCAGAATTGGCTCAATGGCTCACAACAACAACAGTGCAATATAGGTCATGCACACACACAGAAACAGATAGGTTAAGGTAACTAGATACACAGTGAGGATGTCAGAAGGTTCCCTGAGGGGGTGGCCCTTGAGCACAGATATGAATGAAGTGAAGGAAGAAAACAGGCAAATATCTGGGAGGAGAGCCCAAGCAGAGGGAACAGCAAGTACAAGTGCTTGGAGGTGAAGGGGAGCTTGGTGTTCCAGACAAGGAAGTCAAAGCAGCTGACCTGGTCAGTTAAGGGGAAAGAAGTAGGATTTGAGGTGGAGAGACAGAAGAGGTCATGTTCTCTAGACTTTTAACTAGAGTAAGCAATTTGGATTTTTTGTTTATTCAATAGGAAGACACTAGATGATTTTGAGGAGGATTGTGATATGATTTATATTTGAAAAGGGAGCTCTGGTGGTGTAGTGCCTAAGGCATTTGACTGCTCACCAGAAGGCTAGCAGTTCAAACCCACCAGCCACTCCTTGGAAGGAAGGTTAGGCAATCTACTTCCATAGTGATACCGCCTCAGAAACCCAAGGAGGGGTTGCTATGAGTCAAAATTGACTTGACAGCAGTGAGTATATTTGAAAATGATTACTTCACATCTGTTAGACTCTGGCAGAGCAAGAGTGGGAGAAGGAAGATTAGTTAGGAGTCTGGGATGCAAAATCAGTTGATTGATGTTGGTGAATTCAGGTTAGAATGTTGTTGTTCTGTGCCATTGAGATGTCTCCGACTCATAGGGACCTTATGTACAACAGAATGAAACACTACCCAGTCCTGTGCCAGCCTCATGATCCCTACTATACCTGAGCCAATCGCTGCAGCCACTATGTCAATCCATCTTTTTGAGGGCCTTCCCCTTTTTCATTGACCCTCCACTTTACCAAGCATGACATCGTTCTCCAGAGAATGGTTCCTTCTGACAACATGACCAAAGTAGGTGAGATGAAGTCTGGCTTCTAAGAAGCACTCTGTCTGTACTTTTCCAGGACAGATTTGTTAGTTCTGTCAGGAGTCCACAGTACTTTCAGCATCCTTTGCCAACACCACAACTCAAAAGTATCAACTCTTCTTTGGTCTTCCTTATTCATCACCCAACTCTCACATGTATATGAGGGTTTCTGAGGCAGTATCACACATAAGTAGATTGCCCAATCTTCCTTCTGAGGAGTGGTTGGTGGATTTGAAATGGTTAGTAGTCACATGCCTTAAGCACGACACCACAAGAACTCCTTGGCTTGGGTTAGGTTCACCTTAGTCTTCAAGGAGAAACCTTTGCTCTTCAGTACTTGAAAGAGGTCTTTAGCAACAGATTTGCCCAATGCAATACATCTTTTGATGTCTTGACTGCTGCTTGCATTGGTGTTGATTGTAGAACCAAGTAATATGAAGTGTTTGACAACTTCAATCTTTTCTCCATTTATCGTGATGCTGCTTATTGATCCAGTTGTAAGGAGATTATTTTCTTTATATCAAGGTGTAATCCATACTGCAGACTATAGTCTTTAATCTTCATCAGTAGGTGCTCCACATCATCCTCACTTTCAGCAAGTAAAGTTGTGTCATCTACATATCTCAGGTTGTTAATGAACCCTCCTCCAATTCTGATGCCATGTTCTTCTTCATATAATCTAGCTTCTCAGATTTGCTCAGCATAAAGATTGAACAAGTGTGGTGAAAGATACAACCTTGACCCACTTCCTTCCTGATTTTAAACCATACGGTATCCCATTGCTCTATTTGAAAGACAGCCTCCTGGTCTGTGTACAGGTTCCTCATGAGTACAGTCAAGTATCCTGGAATTCTCATTCTTCTCAATGTTATTCATAATTTGTTATGATTCACACAGTTGAATGCCTTTCCATAGTCAATGAAACACAAGCAAACATCTTTCTGGTATTCTTTGCTTTCAGCCAAGATCCATCTGACATCAGCTATGATATCCCTTGCTCCATATCTTGTTCCAAATCCAGCTTGCATTTCTGGAAGTTCTCTGTCAATATACTGCTGCAACCATTTTTAAATTATCATCAGCAAGATTTTACTTATGTGTGATATTAATGATATTGTTTGATAATTCCCACATTGTATGGGATCACCTTTCTTTGGAATGGGTACAAATATGGATCTCTTCCAGTCAATTGGCCAGGTTGCTGTCTTCCAATTCTCTTGGCATAGCCAAGTGAGTGCCTCCATTGCAGCATCCATTTTTTGAAACATCTAGTGGACTTGTTTTAATTGTCTCCAGCTTCAACTTGAACTTGCATATGAGCAGTTGATGGTCTGTTCCACAATCAGCTCCTGGCCTTGTTTTGGCTGAACATATTGGGCTTCTCCATCGCCTCTTGCCAAAAATGTAGTCAATCTGATTCCTGTTTACTCCATCTGGTGAAGTGCACATGTATAGCCACTGTTTATGTTGTTGATAAAAGGTATTTGGGATGAACAAGTCATCAGTCTTGCAAAATTCTGTCATGTGATCTCCAGCATTATTTCTATCACCAAGGCCATATTTTCCAACTACTGATGATTCCTCTTTGTTTCCAACTTTTGCATTCCAATCACTAGTGATAATTAACATATCCTGATTGCAAGCACGGTCAATTTCAGACTGCAGAAGTTGGTAAAAATCTTCAATTTCCTCATCTTTGGCTTTGGTGGTTGGTGTGTAAAATTGAATAGTAGTAGTATTAACTGGTCTTTCTTGTAGGTGTATGGATATTATCCTATCACTGACAGGATAATATATGCTGACAGTGAATGATTTAAAGAAATATTTTAAATTTTGAGCAAAAAGCCTTGCTTATGGGTTAAATGTGAGGTGAGAGTGAAAGACAGGAGTCAAGGATAACTCTGAGGTTTTTGCCAGCATTTGAGTGAATGGTGATACTATTTAATATATGGAGGAAATACAAAGGATGTATTGACTGTGGCAAGGACAGAAGAGGTGGGGATCAGGGGCTGTGCTTTGGACATGATAGTTATGATAGTGCTGCTACACATTCAAGTAGAGATGTGGAAAACAGTGTTGATATGAAAACCAGGAGTTCTGGGGATAGTAGAAGCTATAATTTTAGGTATCTTGAATATGTAAT